CAGACATTATCAAATGTCCCCTCGGGGGGCAAAATCGCCCCTTTCCCCAGTTGAAAACTACTTCTCTAATGATGAGTTTTCTTTAGAAATTTTAACATATTTAACTCATCCATGTCTCAAATTAATCTTCATTCTTCTTTGAAACACAAGAATTTTAAAACACTCGATCTTCAATTGTTCCACTTTTTGAGCTTGACCTGTTGTTTTTAAAACCCAGAATACACGATTATTGTTTTATACAGCCGACATTTGTTTGGATTTACTCACGTATTTATTTGTTTCTTTCCTATATTTGTTCTCACGTATCATAACTTCCATCTCGGAATGGTTTCCTTCTGTCTAAAATACATTCTTTAGATCTTTGTCTAATAAAGATCTTTTGATGTCAAATGCTCTCAACTTTTATTTGTCTGAGTCTTTGTTTTATCTGTTTTCCTGAAAGATGTTGTTTTGGCAGGTTATCCAATTCTAACTTGACAAGGATTTTCGATGCACTTGGAAGGGGTTTATCACTTCTTGGCTTCTATCCCTTCTGAGAAATCCTCCATGGTTTCCCTGTTTTTCCTTTGAAGGCAATCTGCCTCCCCTGTCTCTGACGGCCTGCGGTTTCACTCCGATCTGACTTCTGATTTGCTCGGCTTGGGATTTGTTGGGATGCCCGAATTTGTAAACTGGTATATTTCATCAGCTATTATCTTTTCAAAATATTCAAACGCAGACATACGTGGGACATGTTGTGGGCTTCGGTCTGGGACGCCACAATAAAGCAAATATCTCAATCGAATGAGTCACGTGAATTTTTTTGGTTTCTCTGCACATATAAAAGTGATATTTACTCTATACTGTAGCCTATTATGTGTACAATAGTATTATGTCTAAAAAAAAGTATATACCTTAATGAAAAATACTTTCTTGCTAAAAATTCTATCATTCAAGTCCTCAGCAAGTTGTAATCTTTTTGCTGATGAAAGATCTTCGATTTGTTAAAAATGCAGTATTTGCGAAAATAATAATTACCTTACCCTCCCCATGACGAGTAATTTTATGTGTCGACTTGACTAGGCCACAGAACCCAGATATTTGATCAATCAACACCAGTCTGAATGTTGCTGTAAAAGTATTGTTTTAGATGAGATTACAATTTAAATCGGTAGACTTTGAGTAGAGCACACTGTCCTCTGTAATGCGGGTGGGTCTCATCCAATCAGGTGAAGGCCTTAAGAGGAAAAAGACTGAGGTCTCCAGAGGAAGGGGCGATTTTGCCTTGAGACTGCCTTGGAGCTGAGATATCATCTCTTCCCTGGGTCTCCAGCCTGTCAGTTTGCCCTACATGTTTTGAACATGCCAGCTTCCACAATTGTGTGAGTTGGTTCCTTAAAATAAAATTTTCTCTCTGAGTGTATATACACACAAATATCTTATTGGTTTTTTTCTCTGAAGAACCCTGACTAATACACTCCTCCTTCTGTCCAGTTGACTTTTTCTCTCTTCAGCTGTGTCTAATCTGTTATTAAGCTCATCCTCTGACTTCTACATTTCAAGGATTATATTTTTTATTTCTAGAGGTATATTTGGTCTCCCCACAAAAATGTTTGGTCATTTCTTGGTGTGTGCTGGATTGTGATTATTGCTCCCGATTATTCTCGCCCTTCCTTATAAGAGAATTATACATTCCTACCTGTTGCTCTGCAACTTGCTGTTCCTCCCTGGGGAGTAGTACACTTCCCTGCTCTGTTGATATTGGACTTTGCCATGTCTTTGGCCAAAGGGATGCAGGCAGAAGTGATCTGCTTCATGTCTAAGTAAATGCTTCAAGAACTATTGTGGGGGTTGTACTTCTTTCTCCATTTGGAATGTCCTTCAGCCTAGACCCTAAAATGGAGAAGTCACTGAGGTTAAATCAGAACCACAGTTGACATCCAATTGCACATAAAATGAGAAATGAGGCTTTGTTTTTGAAAGTCATGGAGATTTGGGGTTTACGTGTGAGTACCACAAAGCTGAATAATTCAGCCTCTCATGCTTTCCTGATATTACCAATGCCTTCTTGTAGTTATTTAACCATTTTAAGCATGCTGTATAATCTCTGAGTGTTTATGTCATGATCTAAAGTCTTCGTAGGTGTGGCTTAGCTGCCTGTAGTGTCCGACGGTTCTTGTTCATGATGTTTTCCTTTTGGGTTTTGTGATTTCTAACAGCTAACCCTGAAGTTTTATTTGACCACCCGGATAGTCTGATTTGGGGCTGCAAACCTACTATTTTGAGATTATTACTTCTCAGGAAAGATACATTTTGCTCCTTCACTTAGAAACCAAAACCAAAACCGAAAAGGTTTCCTTATAGTCCCTGGTGGGGATGCGTAGCAGGCTGAATAATGACCCCAAAGATGCCAGGTGGTATTCCCCGGCACCTGTGAATGTGACCTGATTTGACAAAAGGGTCTTTGCAGATTAAATTAAATATTTTGAAATGGAGAAATGATCCTGGATTGTCTGGATGGGCCTTAAATGCAACCATGAATGTCCTTGCGAGAGGCAGGGGAAGAAACACATACAGATGAGGTGATGTGACTATGGGGGCAGGGATTGGAGTGATGCCACGAGCCAAGGAATAAGGCATTTGGAAAAGACAGGGAATGGATCATCTTCAGGACCTCTGAAGACTTCTTTGACACCTTGAATTCAGCCTATTGATACTGATTTTTGATGTCGGGCCTCCAGAACTGTGAGAGAGAGAATAAATTTCGTTAAGTCACCCAGTTTGTGATACTTCGTTATGGCAGTGACAGGAAACTAATATAGAATGGGATAGTTCACCCTTATAGGAGAGGTGGGGGGTGGCTCTTTGAGATTTCAGATTTATGGGGAGGTCTCTTTTCGACCCCACCTTGGGTGAGCCCTCAGCTTTGTCTTTTGTCCCCCAGGAAACATTTGAAATATTGCTTTTGAAACATGACATCCAGCAATTTATTTGATATCATTTGAGGGTCAGGAAGATTGCCTACTCAGCCATATTGCAGGAAATGGAAGTCTAAATGTGTCCTCCCTGTCACTAAGATTGCAGACAGCTTGTGGCCAAATAACAGATATGTCCCCTTACTACTTATCATGCCGGAGACATGAGCAGATCTCATCGTTAAAGATCTCATCGTTAAAGAGGCAGTTAAGAGAGTTATTAATGGAGTCATTAGGAGGATGGTGAGTATGTGGGAGGACTTGTTTTCAGCACTAAACAAATATCTATCAGAGTTGGGGGATGTGTGTGCAGGGTGGAAGTGAGCAGACAGTAGATAGTGCATTTCTCAGTGTGGTAAGAGTGCTTGCTTACTGAGATGCCTCTGGTTCCACCCCCACAATGCAAAATACAGGGGTGTTCCCCAGCAGGGTGAGGCAGGCGCTCTTTTGTCAGCTGCTGGCCCAGAGGGGCCCACGCCTTTCTTTCCCTTCATCTTCCCCGGCACCATGTCTCCATCTTTGGTAGGAGACTGTCAGCCCCCCAGCCTCTGGCTGGCCAATCCCATGCTTCAATTGTCCCTCTCAGAAGCCCTTCAATTGTCCCTCCCACCCGCAGAGGGGAGATGCCACTGTCAGATTCTCTGTTAGGAAACCATGGGAAAGGATGTCTCCTTCCTGTCTTACTCCTGAGCCTGACTGGGTAGCGTCTGTGGACCAGGACACCTACAGCCACTCCATTTCGCTCTCGGACGCCTGCTCAGGGTTTTGGTTGCAACCACTAGAAACCGACTGGCTGAAATAAGCACAAAGAGTTTCTCAATATGATGTTGGGGAGCTCACAGAATCTCTAAAAGGGTCAGAGAAACAGCCTCAGGGGTTGGGTCGGGGACACAGGT